TGTGTTGAGACAATCCGTTGGTAAAGATATTTGCAATTTGTTCTTTTGTAGGGACATACGTCATACAGATAATCCCATCATCCACCTTCCTTTGATAAAATATTTGTCCATTTTTACATGTTTATTATGTCATGTTGTGCTAGGTTGAGAAAAATGTTGTTAGCTGCTTTGTTATCATAATAAAGTTTGCTTGGAAATTCCATTTCAACTTTTAGTTCTTCAAAAAGTTTCTTTAATCATATAACTTCACATGTTCCTTATGCAATGGCTCTAAATTCAGGTTCAGCACTGCTTCTAGCCATGACATTCTGTTTTTTCTTTCTCCAAGTTACCAAAATTTCCCTTACTAATGTGCAATATCCATTGGTAGATCTTTTATCATCAATTGATCCAACCTAATCTGCACCAATGAATACTTCTATTCATTGCATTTTACTTTTTCGAAGAGGAATCCTTTCCTGGAGGTGGCTTTTAGATATCTATGGATTTTGTATACTGCTTCTAGATGAGCCTTATTGGGAGAGTGCATATGTTGACTAACCATGCTTACTGCAAACACAATGTCAGTCTTGTGTGTGAGAGATAGATTAACTTACAAACCAGTCTTTGATATCTATCTTTTTCAATTGAGTTCCTTGTATGCTTTGTCATTTTTCTTGCCTCAATACGTGTGTCGCTGGGTTTGCATCCTAACACACCAATTTCACTCAAAAGATCAAGAATGTATTTTTATTGGGAGATAATAATACCTTTCTTTGATCTTGCAATCTCCATTTCCAAAAAGTATGACACTTGTCCTAGGTCTTTCAGTGGCTAAACACTTCTTCAATCTTTCCATTTCAGCCATGTTTTCCCTAATTAGGATTATATCATCAACATATACAATTAGGATAGTTTTTGTCCCATCTTCAGATTGTTGAAAGAACATAGTGTGATCGGATTATCCTTGCTAGTATCCTTGAGTTTCCAAAACCTTTGCAAATCTATCAAACCATGCCCTTGGTGACTGCTTGAGACCATACAAAGATTTCTTGAGTTTACACACTTGATTCTCATCTTTCTTTTTGTTGAAGCCTGGAGGTATTGTCATAGATTTTTTCTTCCAGTTCTCCATTTAGAAATGCATTCTTGATATTTAGTTGTTGAAAGGGCTAGTCTAGATTCATTGCTAGGGACAAGAGAACACGGTCTATATTTAATTTTGCCATCGGTGCTAAAGTTTCTGTGTAATCAATGCCATAGGTTTGTGTGTATCCTTTAGAAATTAGATGAGCTTTGTAGCGTTATATGGTCCCATCGGCCTTGTAGTTCACATTGAAAATTCATTCGCATCCTACAGGTCTACTCTCTTTCAGCAGGTTTACCACTTCCCAAGTTTCATTTTTCTTTAGAGCTTGCATTTCCTCCATTATTGCCTCTCTCCATATTGGTGATTCCAAAGCCTCCTGTATATTTTTTGGAATTTCTATTTTGTCATGATTAGTCATAAAAGCACGAAATCCAGTAGATAGAGCATTATAAGAGATGAATTTTGAAATAGGATGGAGAGTATATGATCGAGTTTATTTTCTCAAAGCAATAGGTAGATCATTACCCGGAGATCTAGATTCAATGGAAGGGTTCTCATCAGGTCCAATCATTGGTTCCGACTCTCTTGGTGCCTCAAGTGTGGAAATTACCTTATGCTTCAATTCAGGCTTCCTTGTGTAAACTAGTATTTCCTTATCACTTTGTTTTTCAATATCTCCCACTAAGTTCAAGTTTTCTTTGGTATATGGCACATTAAAATGTAGAGTGACTGGTTTTGTAGTTAGGTCATTAGGGAAGACTTCAAAATCTAACAATTCCTGATCTAAGAACTGATATTCACTCAAATTCTTTTCCTGAAGGAAATGTTTTTGGAAGTAAGATGTGTTCTTGAAGAAAGTTACATCTAGGCACAAAGACCTTTTTTGTAGATAGGTCTATGGCATCTATAGCCTTTTTGTGCTGGTGAGTATCCAATGAACATACACTTGATTGCACTTGGTTCAAGCTTGTTACGATGATGTGAGTGAATGTGTACAAAGATAGTACTACCAAAACACTTTCAGAGGTAGATTTGAAGTAAGATGAGAAATAAGGAAATGTTTTTGGAATCTTTGAGGTAAACATTAAGGCACCATCAACTTCAAGTTGATGTCTATTTTTTCGTTCAGCAATCTTATTTTGCTAGTGAGTGTTAATACATGAACTTTGGTGAATTATTCCATATTGTTTAACTAGTCTTGTAGATTGGCATTGAAGTATTCTATGCCATTTTCAGTACGTAGGATTTGAAGTCGTGTTTGAAATTGAGTTTGGATCATTTAGTGAAAATTTATAAATATTTAGCAAACATCAATTTTTTCTTTTAGTGGATATATCCAACATACGCAAGTGTGGTCGTCAATAAATGTGACGAACCATTTTGTATGGGTGCGATTAGGATTTCTAGAAGGTCCCTATAAATCACTGTGAATCATGACAAATGGTTTGGATGGTTTGTATGTGGAACTTGGGAAAATTGAACATTGATATTTTTCAAATTCACAAGTTTCACATTGAAACTAGTTTCATTCAAGAAAATGGAGGGAATTACACGTTTTAAGTATGGAAAACTAGAATGACCCATTCTATAGTCCTATAACAAAATTTCACTATCTCTAGAAGTAGATGCTAGTTTACTCATATTAGCTTCATCGAAGTAGTACAATTCCTCACTCTTTAGCACTACCAATCATCTTTTCCAATGAAAGGTCCTGAAAAATACAAGAAGATGGGGAAAATTAGCAGAGCAGTTGAAAAGTTTTGTTAACTAACTGATAGATAACAAGCTATAGGATAAATTCGGAACGTGAAGAACGGATTCTAGGGTTATGGTCTCAGATATTCGAATACTTCCTTTTCGTGCAATAGATGTGAGTAAACCATCTGTAATTTTCACTTTAACATTTTCGGCACATATTGAGTATGATGAGAATAGGTGGTATGAGTCCATGATGTAATCAGATGCAACGGAGTCAATAATCCAGGGTGTTTTAAATTGCGAGAAGTGTAAGGCTTCTAGAAACTTAACTTTGTTGGCTAGAGAGCTAGAATGACTTTTAGAGGAAGGCTGGCTAGATGTTTAAAGGCTACATAATATTTGATAAAGTGGCTCCATTTGTTCAAAAAAGAAGGCCCTACTTGAAGTGGAAATTTTTTGTCTCAGCTTGGTACCTCCATCTTCTAATATTTTGTCTTGGTTTCCAGTTGGTGGGCTTCCCCTGAATTTCCCAACATGTATCTTATTTGTGTCCTGATCTTCGACAATGCTCACACCAAGGACATTTATTTTGGTGACCCATTAGATGACCCTTTAGATATAAACGCAACTTCTTCCGAATCTTATTCTCTTGATGAATTTGTCTACTGCAACTGCTCCAAAGGATTTATCGACATGCAATATGATATGGAGGGTTAGAAGAAATTTGACGGATAGTACTAAAGGTAACTCTTTGATTTGTGTATTGGGAAGACTATGTTGCCTTATGGGCCGGGCATATGGTCAAAAAAGGGGTGCTGCTGGAAATTGATAGTGATGATATTGTTAGTGTGTTTGAGGGACTTGAATTTATTCTAGGCTAAGCATTATGGCAAACAACTATTGGGCATTTAATAATTTGTGGAAGTACAAATCTGGGCTTAACAAGATATGCGAATTCTTGTATAAACAATTGCTCTCTTTCCTCTTTTAGATGTTTAGCTAAGCATAGAAATATTACTTGTACAAGTAAAAACTCAAAGTTTTAATTTTTATTGGTGAAAGTTAGAAAAATGTAACACCTTTGAGTTTTGAAAAGTAATACTTTCTTTGTAATTAAAAGTACAAAACTTCAAGAGATAAAAAGTTACTGTTACATTTCTAGGCTTAGGCAAGCATTCTCAATTGAAGATTTAATTATCTTTTGTTTTCAGACGGAGACTTTGGATTTTAATTTTCTGTTGAAGCCCAAACAAGGTAACTCTACATTTATAGTTGAGAAGGGTCCGAATAGGCAATTCATAGGTGGTACAATACAAGGGGATGAGAGGTCGGCTATGTTTAAATTGAGCGAGGATGAAGTTTTGAGAATAGAGTATTTATTAACTTGAATAGAGTTTCACCATTTAATCTTGTGACAAGTTATAGGGCATACCAAGAGAATCTCTCTAGCCTTCAACCATTCGTGGAATTCCGTATATTAGTATATATTCAACTGCTCAAACGGGTCCTGAGGTAGGTAATTAGATTGTTATATACATGAGAATTACTCCCTAATTGTTGGATTGTTCTGACATCTTAAGTTTCTGGCATATGAATCCTTTTAACTCCATAAGATACTTCTAATTTTTGATTTTCTTCAAGGATCCATCTCTTTATGGCTAAATTTCTTTGTATAAGTTCTTTTGACATTGGCAAAAAACTTATTAATGTTCTGAGTAATAATTATTGTTGAAGAAGACAAATAGGATAACATTTACAAAGAAATACATAACTTGGTGCCTAAGAAGGTATATCTTACATATTTTTGTTTGGATTAAGGAGAATGATCATTATAACTGTGTAACACTTGTAGAGTTTCTTCAATATATTTTATAGTTGGAATAATATAACTCAATAAGCCTGTCTACATACATAATAGTGAAATGTCCATCCCAATGTAGCCATATTAAATATCGACTTGAGGATGTAATTAAGAAGAGTTCAATACATTTAACACACTAATATTACTTTCAAAATAACTCAATCCGTGCATTACACGGGTGAAGACTAATATATATTAAAGAAGAAGAAGAAAACGTGCTTTGTTGTTACGACTTTACACTTAAAGCGACGTTTCTGGTGCAAGAAAATAAATGTCATTTGAACCTCAGCCCTTGGATCTACTACAGAATATCTCAGCCTTCGGTGGGGAGTATATAGTACTCTCCAATAGAGACACTAGGGCTCATTTTCGCATGAATTTTTGCTCTGCGCAGCCATAAAGAAGCTAATAATCACTCTCTCGATTCTTCTTAGTTTCTGACTGAAGTTTCATCTCCTCGAGTGAAGGTTATAGTGAGATTATTGTGTAGTCAGTAGTGTTTTACACTTTAATGGTTCTCCTAGTGTGCATTGCACACAAAAATGGACGGTATTGTCGAGGAAGGTCTAAACTCATCTGTTCTTGTGTAGACCGTGTGGTGTATTTCTCTAAACTCTTTTGGTAACTCCAATTTTTAAGCAAATAGTGCAAAGGGAGTATTAATCCACCTCCATAGAGCCCCAACGGTGAACGTAACACATGCTTTTTTTTTTTCCCTGATTTCTTCTTTTTGTTTTACTTACCATATGTTCGTAATATTGCCTTGTGCTTGAGCTGATTGTGGATCTAGATAAATTAACACCCCTGCCCCCCACCTTCTCTCCCTCCCAAATAATTGACATGTTTGGGTTTAAGTTTGTGATATTGGAAATTTGTTAACATTTCAATCAACAAATTTTGAGTTATGATGTGATTTAAATATTAGTGGATTTGGATATGAATATTAAGCCTCCGCCCCCATTAAATTCCATTCCATTACATTCTATTTTTCTCTTTCCTATTTTTAATCATACAATCTTTCGTAAAATAATATTACACGTAAATAAAAAAAATTTCCTTCTTTTTCAACTACTCATTTAAAAAAAAAAAAAACACTATTTCACCCATTTTCATTTCCAGAAAATGGGGGCCAAACGGGAGCTAAGAAATCTTCTTTTTCAAATTTGTAAAGTAAAAAATTTGTTCCCATAATTAGGCAAATTTAGAATTTCAGTTTATAGCAACTGTGATGAGAATTAGAATGTTCGTAATAATTAAATCCATCTTGGTAGTGTCACATGTAATTATTTTAAAACTGCATTGAGTTTCATTTTATTGGCTTGTTAGTTCTACTTTTTAATGTGGCTTCCATTTCTCATGACGCAGGGAGGAGAATTTCGCAATAGTTAATTATCTCTTACTGGTAATGTAAGTCCAAAGAAAATGGTATCAGAAAGTGTTGTTTATGAGATTTAGGGTTGGCTGCTGTAGGACACGGCTTTTCGAAACTTGAGCTTAAGGTTGATTTGGAGCCCTACTGTAACAAATTTAGGGCTAATATCTACTGCCGAGAAATGTAAAATGCTGAAGTCTTTGGATTTGCAGGTGATTGTCCATATTTTACTTTGTATTCTTTCGTCAGAATTTCATTTGAGTACTACTCTGATTTCGATCAAAATATTGACTTGCTAACTTGAAATCAATGAAATTCTACGTGAATTTAGAAAATGAATCTGGCATTTCTACTTGCACTTTTGCTTTGGCATATATAGCTGTTCAAGTTGAATGGAATGACGATGAGGAGTGGAAAGACGCCGGGAGAATTGAGTTTCCTTGCTTTATTAGAAGGGAAGCTTAGAAAGGGATGGACACTGGATCCAAAGTGTTATTTTCTTTATTTCAACTAGACATATGTCTAATCACATTGGATAGAAAGTCCCCTCTAATTTTCCCCTCATATTAAACATAGCCCTAGGCTTGTATTTCATTTGGGTTCTAGAAAAACTCTTACTATATGTTAACAAAAGTTATCTATGATTAAATTATGATTGCGGGATATGTTAAATGCTATGCTTAATCTTTTGTTGAACCAGTGCTATGTTGGAGATAAAGGTCTAACTGCTATTGCTGAGAATCATACTTACTTGAAGATTTGACTTTTCAGTGTAGCAAAAGTTCGACTGACACTATTTTGGTACAGCTGGTCCTTGGTTCTGGAGGAACTTTGAAATCGTTTGGTCTTGCTGCCAGTCTATGTCAAAGTCCTTTTGATGTCTCATTGGAAGACGTGGAAATTCACAACAAATCTCTTGAAACTTTATCATTATATTCAGAGTACAACCATGACAAAGGCTTGCTTTCTGCATGCAAAGTGCGGCCTCTTTTGAATTCTTTGGCTAAAGGATATCTTCCTTTCAAATCTGTAAATCCAGAGTTCAGAAATATAGAGGTGAGGCTTTGCAAGCTGTTGGAAGTTTTTAGTTTTGGAGTTATTGGCTCTATACTGATGTGAGAATTGACCGACAAGCATGCTTTACACATCACTATTAGCTTATTGATGGTACATGAATGCAGTTGTCTTTCTATTAGCTTATCATTCGTTAGAGACTTAGAAATGCATGCTCTACACATCATTATTCAGCACTGGATTCGTTATTTCACTGATTTGGAAGGGCTGATGTTATTACAATTTTCTTATCTTATTTAATTAATGCATTTCATTTGGTTTAATCTGTGCCTTGATTGATGCCTCAAATGTTTATGTCCAACTAATGCACTAATAAGAGTTCGTGCATTAGATGGCCTATGCTTTTAACACAGAACAACCTCTGTCTTCATTCTGCATTTTAATTTGGTACTTGTTTTTTTGGTCCATTATTTCTAATTTCGTTCCTTTCATTTTATGTGTGGGAGTGGAATAGATGAGAAAGGAAAACGGATTACTTCTCCGGCCAGCTCATTAAAATATTATGTCGTTTATATGTGTGCAGGAGAAAGGTATTGATGCAACTTTCATGTCTTCTCGTGCTAATTGCATTAGTTTACACTCATCTGGATTGAATCATCTTCTGGTTTGACGGTGAACTTTGTCCACCATTAAATGGCATCATAAATAGTAGGATTTGATGAAGAACTCAGAGCAGCATTGATGGAATTGTCATCCAGTGGTTTCTTGAAGAACTTTCTTCAGAATTACCATCAAGAGCTTTTTAGAGGATGTCTCGCATTACTTGGAGGCAATATTGATCAATAATCCTTCTAACATCACTTAATGCAATCACATGATGCTAATGAAAAATCTGAATTGATACTTTCCATTTGTACATAAATTTGAAGACATGGGAATGGCTGCACTAGGTGAGGCTGCCTGTTTAGTTTCTTGATGAACTTTCCGCAGTATCACCATCAAGGGCATTTTCAATGATGCCCGGCATTGCATGGAGGCAATATTGATTCATAATGATTCCAACTTCATGGAATGCAATCACATAATGCTTATGAAAAAATCGTAGGGATACTTTCCATTTGTAGAACCTGGGAGACATGGGAATAGCTGCACTAGGTGAAGCCTGCCTTTATTGAAGGATTCAGTGATATAAAAGTCTCCCACAAAAAATGTCCACAAATAAAAGATGAGGCGCTCAGTTATATTTGCTAGGAACTGCTCATTGCTGGAAACTTATAACTCGTTATTGCCATGACATTACAGAAACGGAGTTATAATCCTGATTAGAGGTCTGAAATAAGGTATTGATTGAGGAGCAAAAGGTTTGCTAGAGGACAAAGATTGTGTGGTTGAAAATAGGAGAGAGACAAATGAAATGTAATGGAATGTAATGTAATTTAATGAGATTCAAACATGGGCTAAGTTTTTACTTGAACGAGCCTTGGGATTTGGTTTTTGGCAAGTTTCTAAATGCTGAGGCACATTTTGGCTTCTTCCTTTTTTCGATGCAAATTTTTAGTAGAAATGCCTGAATTTGAAATGGCTCATAAGTGCAGAGATTTGAACTAAGTTTTAAATAATTAATGAGTATGGTGAAATTGGAAACAAATTCAATTCAAATATTACTATTCTTGCAAAGATAGAGCTGTAGAAAATAAATTCACATATAGCGAACCATAAATTAATTTGAAAAAGATGCTTAGTTTGTGTTATCTATAGTCTAGTTTTCTGGGATAGATTCTGAACAAGAGAAGAAATGGATGTGTGAGTGGGGATTCAGCTTCAACAGCTTACATGAGGTATATAAACAAGTGAAAGTTGTAGATTTTTTTACTGTCTATCCCAGAAATCAATAGATATTCTCCAACAATCTATCTTAATCTTCAAAATCTTAGCAGCCAAAGGGCCTCAGATGAAGAGATCTCGTTTTCCTCACATAAAGAGTAGTCAATAAATGACGTAATGCGTGGCGATATGTTGAGGTCAAGCTATGGGCTACGCAAGCTCAGGCGAGGCTTAGGCGTAAAAAAGCGTAAAAAGGCGTTTTCTTATTTTAATATTGTTTTAATTTTTAATAAATCAAAAAATTATTTAATAATTAAAAATAATGCTTACTAAACATTTAAAACAGATTTATAGGAACTTTATATATTTTTTCAATGTTTCCAACAAAAATATAAATTTCAAATTTAAATACAAAATAGTAAATAAATAACATAGGAACTTAAATCTTATCTAACTCTTTATTGAACTCCAATTCAATATCCTCTTCTTCATCTAATTCTTCCTCCGTGTCTTCCGATACAAAATCCTCTTCGTCGGGCTTCCTCATTTCATTCTGAGCATTTCTAGTACCTCTCGAAGGTTGTAAGATATCATTTTCCACCCCATCATACTCCTCCTCATCATCACAACTCTCTACAATCCAACCATTAATAATTTTTTAACAACACAAAATTTAAAAAAAAAATTAGGAAAAGGATGATAATGCGGGCCAATGCGCGCATAATTGCGCCCAGGTGCGCCTTAACAGTCAACGATTGCTGTTGACAGCCAAATAAGGCATCAAGCCACTTGGCTTGACGTTTTGGCCAACATCACGCATTGGCCGCACCATTTAGAACACTGATTACACGTGAAGCCAAAGGCTACCACGATGAAAATTTCCATCAAGGATACAATTTTTTCTCAAATTTCCCTGAACTTTTAAATTATAGTTACACCCAATTTATTTCCTACCTTAATGGCTCCTGTAATTTCCGATTAAGCATTCTAAGATATTAATTAGGATTATTACTCGTAGCAGTAGTTCTCATAGGATAAATATTTTTATCTAATTTAGACTTGATCTCGAAATCTATGTTCCTTTACAATTTCCATTTTACGGGTCTGAACTGAATTTTTGCACATGTTACATATAATGTTTCGTTCCGTTACATATAGCAGTTGATTAAAACCATGGACTTCATTTTACCAATTGGATTGCAGTGAATATTTATCTGTGGATAAAAGCTGTTTTACCTGACGAATCAATGCTGGAAATTTTTCAGTGCCTAGAGTCTGACTTGATGAAGAATTTCCGTTTTCTCTCTAAAATCTGTATTTATTCTCTCTCTCTCTTTCTCTTCTTTTTCTTTTTTTTTTTCTTCTTCTTCTTCTTTTGGGATTCATGGAATGGTTACTTCAAAGCAGCGGTAATGCTTGCTCACTTGTCAACAACCGATAGCTTTGTCTTGATAGACTAAAGCATGATGACATTGAAAAATCTAACAAGACTGACATTATGGATGCCCCATAAACCATTCTTCCCCACGAATTTGTTTAGTTTTTAGTTATACCATGAAAATTTCTTGAAGTCTCCGTGGTTCAAAAGAGAAATCATGAAAACGTGCTATATTCACATGTGCTGTTGCATTTTCTACAAGGTCTAAACATTGGACCCCATTCAAAATGAATATAGTACCACATTCTCATATTGATGGATTGTGAAGAAGTCCACAATTAAAATTTTACAATGATCATAGTTATCACCATCTAAGGTATAAGATGTAACGCCCCAAATTTTTAATTCGAATTGTCATGAATATTCATTCCATAACTTAAAGAGAAATTTGTCTGAGTAGTTTAAAATATGAACTAAAGAAAAAAGTTCAATACTTTAAGAAATAAAACATCTTGACTCATAGGAATTTAAACATAAGTTTCAATACCTTAAATTTCAAACTCTTAAACATAAACACAAAAATTAAAATTACTTCTAAGATCCTTCCATCAATCTGCGGCACACAACACCACCAATTGCCATCATCCATTTAGTTCACATTATTCTTTAAATTAAAACCCAAAAAGAGTAAGTATTTCAAAAAATACAAAGTGAGATACATGCAATTCAATCTCGGAAAAATAATAATAACAATACCAAATAATTCATACCACTTTTCATAGTGAGCAACTGAACCATATCGAATGGAATGCTCTATAAGTTTCTGCATAACATTCAAAATAAACAAACCGAACCATATCGAATGAAAAGTTTTCTACATTTCATATATCACCAAATTCGAACCATATCAAACAGAACAGACGTTAGCATATCGTGTAAGATTGTAAAAATACTATATCAAGATGAATAAACACTTTGCATATAAGTATCTCACCTTAACTTTTCTTTAAAATTATTCGAAATCAAGCACTTTTCCTTCATCTTCAAAAATTTTCCTTTCTTTTCTTTTCTTTAAAAACTTTTGATAAAATTTTGAAATGAAATTATAGGAAATCTGAAAATTTTGATGAATTATTTGTGAAATTCGGATTTGTGTATAGGGCCTTCTTAAACATGATGAATATGCTTTATTTTGGTCTTAATGGGTGCAAATAAAGAGCCCCCAACTCCCCACTATAGAATACCCCATTGACCTCCACTTTCAACTCTTTTAAACCAATAATAAATTATATTTTGACCCTTAATTTCTGCTGGAACCCGACCTCTCATCGTTGAAAAACTAATAATTTTGTCAAATATTCCATTAATCATATAAATTTCTAATAGCCGAAAATACCATAAAATTACTTTTAACCATCTTCTTATGTTCAAAAACCTTCAAATCTTGTACTATTGGATTCCTTACATTTTTATCCTTCATGTGAAATTTCTTTATGTGCAAAATCTTAATTTTAAAATTCATGAACCTGAGAGATGACCATTTTACCCTTCTAGTCTAAATCGTCACGATCTATTGAAAATCTTTTGTAAGTCTCTATAAGATTAAAAATACTTAAAATCCTTCATATGATGACCATATAAGTTTTACTTTCTCTCAAATGAATATTGTTCTTATTTACACTAGAGTCTTTTGATTGTCCAAAAGAAACTAACAATGGGGGGATGAAATGATTTTTAAAAATTTTTCGAAGAATTAATCTAAATTCAAGTAAGTAAAAACTAAATAGAT